CCCCATTCAAACGCCACCTTCGGGACCTATGGATAGCAGAAGACTGCGTGAGCACCGTTGACGACGACAATGATGACAACTGGATGTCTCCCACCGCCAAGGTCAAGCGCATTACCATGATAAAGCGAGCGATCCTCGCGTGGGAGAAGATAACCCCAGAGCAGGTGCGTGGTATCTTTCTCAAAGCAATCCCTAAAAGTGGTAACATCGTTGATTGAGACGGCTGTCGCCGCCTCAAGGATTGTTGCACGGTTTTTGCTGTTTTCTTGGCTTCCAGTCATTACGCTCTAATTAGTAGCATTCAATAGAGCATTTTAATGCGGTGATTTTGGTACCAAAAGCGTCGAAATTGGATGAAAATTGAAGAAGTTATGGCTAAAATACGTTTTGCTGTGCCCAGAGCCCGAGGTTTTCATATTTAGTTTAAATTTTTGACAATTGATTGAAGACTGGCTATTGGTCAGAATATTCGTCGAATTTCATAGTACGTTAACCAATTAAGTCTTCAGATTTCGAGTCTAAGTGTGGCTCAAAATCCGTCGTTCACTGTAACGACGGAAAAATGTCCCCAGTGGTACTTCACCACGTTTCGTTAAATTAATATTGTACAGTATTCAATCTGCCAGAAGAAATTGTAGTGTTTTCAGCCAAAGGGTGACAAAACAATGAACCCCGGAAAAAAGCCGATCACCTCTATAACATGATCTGTTTTACAGTTAGAAAATCCTACCACCTGTATACTTCAATACCACCTCTGAAATATCATTCCGTTTTACAGCTTGCAAGGTTAGATTCAAAAGCAGCTGCACAGGATATGTGGATATACTACAGGTAACGACGGAAAAATTCATCAAGTGCTATTGTCAAGGCCGATTGGGATCGGTCACCATTTCAGACCTCATAACTCTTCAAGGAGATGTCCAATTTCGACGTAACGATGATTTAAAAAACGTCAAACAATTTCTGATGCGACTAAATCGCCAACAAGTCACTTTCAGAATGGTAAGGAATATTAATACACCGTTCAAAAACGGCAAGTGAACAACATCATCAGTTGGAGTATAGGGTTAATTTTAGGACAATTGATTGGACAAAACTAACCAGGCTTAGGTGAAGTATAGGTAATATGGAAGGTTTTATACAAAAACGCATGAGGTTAAACATGGCATTTTACAACCAAGTACTTTTCGGGTGCTAAGAGCTGGTGTTTTTTCTTCATAACTCGTCGCACACTGATGCTAAATGTGTCCTGAAACGTGCTAAATACTGCTGCTCTCACGGCCTACACGCCACTCATCTTAATATCTTGATATTCGTATTCTATCATATTTATATTACAATCCGTATTCCCCGTGCGCGATCCCAATTGGCCCCGACAATACTACCTTGTTATCTTGAAATTGTATGGGACATTATGCATTAATTCATGATGGGTTTTGGTCGTATTTAACAGTAAATTTCATACCAAGATTGCTACTGTTGTTTGATTGGACAAAATAAGCCATTTCCTACAACGACGACAAGAAATATCATGACGAAATATAATTACTGTGAAACGCATTTACTGTGAGAGAACCAGGAATTGACTTGTCACATGAACGACGGGTCAACGAAGTTAGAATTCCTTCCCACGCTGCCATCACGCACTTGATAATGACCAGGCGCTTGGTCATGATGTTCTCCTTGTTCTTCAACCACACCCTCCTTTGCTCCGATCGATTCCATTCGCGCTGTTCCAATCGTCATTGCTAGTGCGCAATGACGATAGCGCCAGATTTAACGAGCCAACCATGAATGAGTACTGTGGATTTATTCAATCTTTGATTGCGGTGAGATATTTTGTGAAATATACTTAGGGCTGGTCTGGCAAAAGATGAGATCAAAGTGTCATTTTGGGCATGGTAAAATGTATGAGATTTTGAAAATGGCACATTGGTGAAAGTCCCATTTTGACCCAAGTTGAAGCCCATTTTTCCCAGACAGGACATTTTGCCATGCCAAACTGCAACCCCCAGAACTGAATAGACATATCTTGTGTTCATACTGAAATCAAGTATAAATTTTACCTCTAAAATCACATACACCCGCACTGCAAGAAGCGTCATTCAGCGAAACCATGGCATCGAAAGACAGCACACGAGCATCGTGGACCCTTGACCGAGACGAGTTCATTGTCACGGCGCTCCAAGCTCAGGTAGCCAAAGGCAAGCGATCCGGGCTCCGGATACAAGAATGAAGCGTGGTTCGAAGTGACAGCGGCATTCAACGAGCGCTTTGGCACCTCGTATCACTCGTTGAAGGTGAAGTCACGACTCGACTGTGTACGTGATATATGACTTCAAGCACTTCTACAACGTATAGCTCAAGCGTGAATACAAAGACGTCAAGTACTTACGCGACAACTCTGGGTTTGGGTGGAACGAAGAGTTGGGCCTGCCTACTGCACCAGATGACGTCTGGGCTGCTGTTCTCAAGGTACTTGCTTAATAGGGACTCATCTGACCTTCTATGTCTAGGCAAGCCCATCATGCAAGAAATTTCGGTTCACACCGTTTCCGCTCTACGAAAAATTGGCCATCCTGCTCGACGGAGCGTACGCGGACGGGCGATTTTCTTCGATGCCACCGGGCTCCATCGAGCAACGTGACAACAGCGGCAATAAAACAGCGTCTTCACATAGTGCCGTGGTACAAGCGACCGGTGGCATATGACGTCGAACGCGTGTAGACATGTCCAAAGACTACGACAACTCCGACAGCAGCTCCGACGAAGCATCTCCCCCACCAAAGAAGCTCAAGCAAAAGGTAAACAGGGACCGTCGAAGCGCTGGTGCCGTGATTGGCGATGCAATTTCGAAGTTAGTGGACGTCCAAGCATGCAAGGCAAACCACCAGCAAGACCCACACGACAGAGTGACGCAAGCGATTGATTACCTCATTCAGAACTACAGCCATTTGGACGGCAGCGTTCTCGCAAATCTGGCTGATATGATGGGACAAGAATTCAATGCGACCATTTTTATGACCCTTCGTGGGCCAGCGCGCGATGCATGGATAGCCAAGAACAGCAATTAATTGACAAAAACACACTTTTCTTGAGCATTAGTCCATTGTTAGACGGATGTACTGCTCCCACATCGCCGCAGCAATGCTATCACGCAAAACCCCAGCTTTAGCAGTGTGCTACTCGGTTGGCACATTGGACATGCGGCGGTGTCGGTTAGCGCGGCGCTTCTGCAGTTGATCACGCTTCTTCTTGGCCTTGTCGGCCATTTGGAGGAAGTGGCGGTCATATTCGAGTTCCATAACGATGTTGTGTAGAGCGCATAGCGTGTAGACCAGGTCAACTTGTGTCGTGAACGGGTACTCTGATGGATACTCCAGAATCTTGAACCGCTTCTTCAGCACACCGAACACACGTTCAATGCAGTTGCGCTGCTGGTAGTGACGAAGGTTGTACAGTTCTCGGGCGTTTTGTGGGCGCTGATTCCCAGCTGCCCACTCGCGGAGATGGTATCGTACACCTCGGTACGGTGTCAACAAGTTCGTTTTTAGACTGTAGCCTGCGTCTCCTAATGTAGCACAATTAGTACCGGAAGTCATTGCAAACGTACCCAGGTACATCTTCCCCTCAGGAATTTCAAAGCCCTTTCCCAACAAGGCATCGCTCAAAACTCTGCCGTCGGACGCAGCGCCTTCCCACCCCGCAAGCACGTAGACGAATCGCAAGTCGAACGAGCAGGCCGCAACCACGTTTTGGCTGACGTATCCCTTACGGTTGCGAAATGGCTTTGCAAATCCGGGTGGAGGGGTTGCTCGTATATGCGTCCCATCCAATGCGCCAACGCAGTGTTCGAAGAACGGGTACATCTTTGGGTTTGAATGGATTTCGTACGGAATGTCTTTGCTTGGAAGGGTGACCACGACGGGGTATAGTAGCAACAACGAAGCAATCACCTACATCATAGATATCAGCAACAATAAATGCAGGATTTGTACTTCTTGAATGGACTGAGTGATAGTCCATCCACTGCGTTAGAACCGTTCTTGCGTCTCACGATTCGAAGCCGCTCGACCTGCAACGAAGAGAAAGGTAGCCAACTTTTCCTTGGCCGACACATAGCGACTTGACGACAGGGAGTACTTGCTCTGCAGAGTCGCCAGCAGAGAGTTGAACGTGCTTGGCAACATACGCAGCTGGTTGCGAAAGCGCCTGTGGCTCCCCGTCAGCAGCTCATCGACCCATTGCTCTCCTTTGAGAGCAGTCGTGTGGCAGGGCCCTTTGATCACGTGGTTTACGGCCCACCACGCAGCGCATCCGACAAGGATTGAGATCGTCGCCATTGAAGCAAAAGTGCGCGAAATGGAGTTGGCGGTTACAAATGGACCTCTGAGGTCCATCTTTAAAATGACGTTTTGACGCAAAAATGCCATAAATTGAAGTTGGTCCCAACTTTTACCAGACACGTTCGTTCCCATTTTCAAAATGGCGTTTTGCCTGAAAAAGTTTTCGGCCCCAAAATCGTAAAAATGTCATTTTCTGGATGTTGCCAGACGAGCCCTTATACATTTTCATATAAATTGCCAACAAATACTTCTAAAATTCTTTACCACAACGTTTTCGCTGCTACCTAACAATCATTCGATATAGTTTCCCAAGAGAGGTCATTGATTCTTCTTTGGTGAGTCCTACGTTCTTTGAGGAAATCTTGCGCAGAAAGAACCGCCTTATCAACTGGCATAGACTGGGGATTCAGATAATCAAACCCAGGGCATTGCGGTGATACCTTGCGCCATTAACGGCTTGGCCACAATGGATCCCTTTAAAAGGTTGCTTACAATGAATTAGCGTCAGGGAATGAGGGCGGATATAAATCCACCCTCATGCGTATACGAAATTTTACATATTCTCCGAAAGAGATAACTGTCTAGGGCCATCGCTAATAGAAAATCCAAGGCTACTCATGTGCTGAAGTTTAAACGTGTATAATATCATGTCTTTTGTCGTGGCCATAAATGACACCCATTGGCTAGAGTAATGGGATTTTGCTCGCCATGCCCATATTTTAATTCCAAAAATATGAACGAGTACCACTGGGTGAATTTTTCCGTCGTTATCTGTATCATATCAGTGCATAAACTTGCTCAATTCATCCTTCTTGTAACAATATGTCGCATTCTTACACTATAACAATGATTTGTACTACAAACCGACCTGTGTTGGTGCAATACAGGAACAACATCACAAACAATAAGAAAAATAACTCACGCCGTAGAGCTCCCACTCGAAATCCGTGTGGTACAGGGTTGATTTCATTACTTCGATGTACGTTAATTCAAATGCTCAGTGTGTGTTGGAACCTCAGCATGTCGTTGTGGTATCATAATAGGTCGTACCAAAAGCGAAGTCACAAAAAATATCGCGCACTGACGTTCAACATATTTTGTATTCCACAAGTACTCATGCATGTAGAATATGCATACCAGGAACTCAAAGGCAATAAAATATTCAAATTACGGGCATAGTACTATTTGACTAGGTGCTGTATAATTATTGGTGGTTCAACAGTCGCGCTAAACCGCGTCCTTCAAATCAACGTCAAGCCATGGCCTACATCAGATACACCAACGCTCAGCGCAAGAAGTACATCGAGGGATTCGATCCAAGCCCAATACCATCCAGAGGATACGAGAATGCTAAAAATTCGACTGGACTACGTGGCACAACTAGTTGGACCAAATGGACTCCATCACGGACAAAACATGCAACGCAAAGAAGTACACGCTGGGCGTCCAAGGTCGCCATGGCATCCTTCCATTTGCATCGGATTTGCTACAGTTTATGGATACGGTCCTTAAAGAGGAGCACTAACTGGCCCGTGGTCACCCCATCGCGTTCGTGAAGAACCACCATATGGATTGGCTGGATGACTATTTGATAACGAAGAAATCCGAAGGTCGAGCTTACCACAGCCTGCTTCGACTGTGTCAACGATTCTAAGTCCGCTACCGGTTTTTGCAGCACTTACCGTGCTTCACTATAGTCCCTCAAGCAGTTATTGCCGAGACCAAGGTGACAACTTCGTGACACAACGTGGAAGGTTACAAGAATCTGGGAACTGAATCTGACTGAGCTCAAGCATTGATGGGCCTTCTGTAATTTTAGCTGGCAATCTTGACTGTCGCGTGTTTGTGGCGTCACATGAAATGATATCGTTTGAATTTTTAGCGTTTTGGAATCCTTGCCCAAGAATTCGACAAGTGTTTTCCATCCTTTGGATGTTGGTGTCATGGAGCCATTGAAGAGCATACTTCGTTACAAGTGACTTCGCGAAAAGGTGGCTGCGTCTGCAGTCGAAAAACGCACTATTGATGCCTGGGAAGACATGCGATGTGAAATCATCCCTCCCTCATTTGAAAATGCGCTGCCACTTCGGATAGTTTCGGCCAAGAGGAGCCACGTGAGAGCAGTCGGAGATATTTGATAACATAGGCTCTCAATGATCAACCGATTCTCAGCTTCCCAAACTAGAGTATTTCCCTCGCAATTTTTACAACCACAAGAAATGAGGTATATGTTGAAATTCCTAGAGACATGCTGAACACGATGAGTTGGTCACCTATCACTTACAACAGTTCTAAATGTAGCAAAACAATGTTGAAAATGCCCACTCAAACCTGACTCTCAATGATTTGCCGAATTTATACTCGATTAAACTATGAGGAAGGTGAAGGGTAAAACCATCAAATTATCATCTTAAAGAGGTTTACCATTTTTGTGAAGGAATAAAATATTGAAGGAGGGGGCCTACTGATACGTTTTATCTCCTGATCCTCATCGAGGTTGTCGTTGTCTTCCGGGGCAACATGCATCCCGGAAGACAACGACGCCCAGGTTGAGGTAGTGGAACAAGCTGAGGTTACAGTTGTTTGCCCCATGCTGTCGAGGAAGAAGACGAGGGCCGCCGGTCGCTCAGGAAAGACAAATCGGCACAGCATCTCGTGGAACGACGTGACGGAGAACGTGGCGTGGCAGCCAACCATGTGTCGAACGTGCTCCTTGGCGAGCTCATTCTCGGTCAGTCGACGGTGGCAAACGATACTGCGTTGAGTCTGCCAACGAGGCCATGCACTTTGCTGCGGCTTGTGGTTTGCAACTTCACGAAAATGTGCGCTCTCTTCGCGTCGTTGTACCTGTGGTTGAACTCTGTGATCGCACGGTGCTCGAGAAACTCGTGACAAAGCCACTTGTGGCTCTCGGGCACTTCCGGAATTTGTAGAGCCCCCGCTTCGCAAGCGGAAGGTGCAGACATCAATTTCCCGTGTTGATGATCAGTACTGTACATTGTACCTGAATGTCAAGTGTAAAGCATCAGTGGAAAACATTTTTTTAATTTTACTTGTTGCACCACCAATTTGCTGCTACTCAACAGACAATGGCAGACCGAAATACAACCACAATTACGCTCCATTCTCCGTTTAAAACAATACTCGAGTCGACACATTTGTGCTCCTCTGCACATACATTGCCAGTAGGTAGTTTCTGCGACTTTGGTCGATAGGCGGCCTGGGCATGAAGGATAGCGTGACAATTTGCGGTAATCAATTTCTTGCTGACAGCCAATGTCTTTCTGGAAGCTTTCACCTTTTTCTTTGGTTGCAGAAGAAACAGAGTGTCCCTCACATGAGACCGACGTTAAACCAACTGTTTTCGGCGGCACAAATTTATTGCACAGACGGCTTGAAAGGTGTAACCTGTACAACAGATTGTCCAGTGACGGTGGGCAAGTCTAGTACGCACGAAACCGTTGGAAATCGAGTTGTTTGTTCCGCCGTAACCAAACGCGGCAAGCCAAAGAAATCGCCTTGTATTTGCTGATATTCGTCGAAATCACCCCAACTGTCATCGGCAATCTCGCGGCGGATTGCTTGCTTAGACGGTCGAAAGACCGCGACATCCAATGGCTAGAACATGTGGATCGAGTTGGCTGGCAAATACTGCAACTGAAAGCCAATTGACATTGTAGCTTAAAAGATAAAGATGGAGTAGTGTGATGAACAGCCGTCTAGTACGAGGAGAATCGGTCGTGGTGTTGACGCTAGGATAGCTGATTTCAGCATGGACGGCCACTTCCTGCAGATATACGAGTTCGTCTATCCCTTCTCAGATGTTGTAACGGCTGCGCCAGAGATGCTCACTTCAGTTGTCACGCGGCAATCAGGAAGCATATAACCGGGGAACTCTGGTGCCATCTGCGCAGACACATGCCCCAATCGTGACGTGTGCTGATCTCAACGCCTCTTTCACGCACACCTGGCTGAGTTGCGATGCACACCTACCTTCTTTGATATCTTGCTTGTACTGAAGTTAGTCTCATCCATGTTGTACGCGCGTAAGGGTTCGAAATCGACTAAGGACGAATGCACGAGCTCGTGGTAGAAGTCGACAACTGTATCCTCGTCAACGCTATTGCGCGCCTTGCTCAGGATTTGAGGCTTCACCGTCGTCAACTCAGAATCGCGACACATGCAACTCTCATACCACCCAGATGATAGTTGTACGGCTGGTTGAGATCGTGCAGATTGATCATCATCTCACTGGCTTTGTGCATGATGGATTGGCTTCCAACAGGATGACCACCGAGCTACATAGCTAAGGTCCAGGTGGCCAAGTCCGCCTCGTAAAGTGGTGGCAGTTTGGGCATTGGACCCATTGTTGCTTTGGTCGTTGCACAGACTACGATGAATGGTTCGCCTATCGAATTTCGTGAAGATGAAATATCAATTTTGACCAATAAAAATTGGTAAACCATGTCAAGGCGCGTGATTGCCAGTGATAATTATTTTGCCGCGTGTGGTAGGACAATTAAATTTGAGACTAATATTATGTGGCCACAGTTATGTTTCAATTTGGAAACGCAGACTCGACGAATTGTTCGTGCTTCATATCGTCCAATGCCAACAATGACACTATGAGTGACTGCAATGTTGTCGTTAGAGCTTAACATCCCGTGTCGAAATAGATGAAACTGGGTAGAGTTTCTACCGAAATTTTAATTACGATGAAAAGAAGATACTGAAATAGATGGAGCCAGGAGGACTCCGCGAAGAATTTCGAGTAAAAATGAATTGGCAAATTGCCTAGCATTCGCGCAAGAATCCCGGATCTGTCTTCATCGCCACTTTCTGCGCAACGTGTATAGTAACATTCAAACGATACAGATTCTCCTGACTATTTAATACATCTGCAAAAAATAATTCCGAGATCGCGAATTTAATTTCTCAACATACTTGATTGGCTATGACATTAACCATATTTCGAAGTTATTCTCCAATGAGTTGAA